CCCCAAAACCCCAAAACCCCAAAACCCCAAAACCCCATTTATATATTTACAGGTTGACAGATGTTCATATATATTAAGGAGAATTTATTGATGACTTAAGCCTTTGTTCCATCTTGGTCTGACTGTAAGCAAGAGCTATAAGCATTTCATCCACTTCTTCATCAGTGTATTCTGGAGTTATGATCTTGTCAATTATTTCAGTTGGGCTATATTATAACACAAGGTCTATACCTTTTTAATCTTGGCACTTTGAGAGACGATCTTTTTGAGTAGAAATTAGCACCACCTGATCGTCTCTGAGACTGTTTAAATATTTTCTCCCTCTTTGTAATTGGCGAGAGATGTCTTTTTGTCCAAACTGGAGATTTTCTTTGAGTATGACCAGAATTTTTCTTCCTAAAAATTAAACGGTCTCTAACTTTGTCAACTGGTCAGATGATCTGAACCCAATGGTGGAAAATTGTCTTGACCTATCGCCGATGCTGTTCCTCTTGCTTATTGCTGGAAGATCAAAAGTGTTCTTCCATTTTGAAGAAGATAGCTCCTTTTGAATATCAGCTGGTAACAAGTTCTATAGAGTAACTTGCCGCACCTACCTTCTTCAGGTTATGTGTGTACAAATAGTTCAGGAATTTCTCGATGACATCAGGATTAGGAATCTTATTAGCGAAATACAGGAATGATTTGACATCTTTCCCTGTCAAAGGGCTGCTTTCATCTAACCATTAGCTACAAACATACCGAGGGACTTCTTAAGTTGGTCATAATCTTTGCCCCAATTCACTGGAATTTTTCTGAAAATTAAAACCAGAACTTACTGAAACCATTTCCCTTTCGGCTTCTTTGAAGGAGAAAGTGTAACCACTTGGCTTTCATTATTCGGAGATATGATGTTAATCATGTTCGATTTGAACTTCTTCTTCCTCTTATTTAGGAGTCCCTACCAGTTGGCTATTTTAACAGAATTATGAATTTGTGTGAATAAGGAAGAATATCCCAGCCAAATTATGAAAGACAAGTTGGCTTATGAGGACAAGTATTGACTTAGGGTCTACGAAATCCTGATATGGAAGGTATCTTCTGGTAAACAACCCAAAAGTAATCCCTTCCTTACATGTCTTTATTCTGGAACAACTTCTTCTGATTTATTTTAGGACTATGTGTTGGTGAACAACCAACCTACAAGTGGGTTTTAAGATGAAACTTTTCATAAATCGGAAGATTCTTAAATAACTTTGGCTTATCTAAGAATGATGGTGGCGGTTTGTTCAGGTAAATATCCTTGCCAAGGAAAATCTAAAATTTCTAGGAAATGCTTACTATATCCTTGTTAACTTGCTTCTTCTCCTTTTTCATTGTTCTGGCTTGAAGAATCCTGAGAGTCAATGGGGAAGCTACCTGATTAATCTCGTGATTTCTTATTTGCGAATTCAAGATGAAGCTTATTTCTGCTCCTCCACCATTTGGAATAATTCCTTGATTGCTATGACAGGAAGTTATGGATATAAGCCAAGAGGAGAATATTGATTCCAGATGGGCTAATTCTATTTTACAAGAAAAGACTTGGATATATTTTATCTAAAGCCAATGATGAATATGACCGTAGGCTTCATCTTTCCTTGAGGACACCAAGTCCTAAATGTGTATGGAATAGTGAGCTCATACATTTTACAGGTGGTGCTTTCCTCTCTCTATAATTTAAGGTTCATAATCCTACTGCTTCTTGCTGGTAATATCCTTAGTGAGTAACGACAACAGCGTCTTGAATCTCTCAGCCTTGGTCTCTCTCTAAGAGTTGTTAGGGAGCTAATTTACTACTTCAGCAATTTTCTTAATCTATTTTAGGTGATTTTTTTACTTACTTGTGGTGAATTAGTGAAAGATTTAGATCTTTTTACTTTGGGTTTTCGGTCTCAGAAGATTTCACTCCTATAAAATTGTTAGGAAAATCCGTAATCTTTATAGAGAAGTCAATAGTAAAACTAAAAGAGACTTGGAGAGTTCCAAAACTTACCCTTTGTTGGCCTGACCAGCCTTAGGAGTTCTCTGGTTTACATTCAAAGATTTTACTGAATCATTTACAGATAGATTAACCATTGCTCTTTGTACTGGTCTGGGATTTGGATACAGGAGTGAATTACTTCGATGTAAGAACTATAGGATTTGTGAAAGCAGGTACCATTACAATATCCCTTCTACAATATAAAAATTATATTAATTCAAACTATTTACACTAATTAGGGGTTTTGGGGTTTTGGGGTTTTGGGGTTTTGGGG